TCTGAGGTTCTGGTTGACGTCGCATCAGAGTCATTACCCACTCAGCAGAAAGAGCAGCTCATGACCCAAGCGTCCCACTGTTTACTGCTGCTCGACCACTGCTCAAAGGGAAAACTACAGGTGAGAATGACCATTGTTATATTTTCTATTGATTTTTTGTGGTTATATAAGGAAGAATTTCAGCCAAAGGGGTAAAAACTATTATCTTATATTTATTTTATCATTCAGTTGAAAGTTTGCAAGTGAAAGTTATAAAAATGGCAGATTTATAAGACAGTAATCCTCATTACGAGTGACTAATTCGAATTTTGTCATGCTTACAAAGCTTTTATGAAATGGTAAAAGCATCTTGTTACTCTCATATTGCATGCAGTTTGAAGCCACCTACTATTTGTTCCTTTGGTCTCATTTCACCTTTTTCTACAGAGTCTTCTGAGAGAGCTAGACAGCAGTTGTGTTTCTGAACCTGTGTTGAAGTGTATCCAGAAAGTCACTGCAGCACCACTGTGTCAATAAGCTGTCAAGAGTATTTGCCACTTTTGGAGGTGAAGTTGGCTCAGTAGAATCTGATTCAGTGATCAGTTCACTATGAACATAGTACGCTCTGTATGTGGGCTATCCAGGCGAACTGCCTTTTTTGTTTTAGTTTTACAAAAATAAAAATTATACAACCCCAAAGAGACTTGGATTTGCAGGCTGATTTGAACATGCTGTAAAACTGGGACATTTCTGGGGTCTTGCATCCTACTTTCAAGAGTTCATTAATGCATGCATCAAGTTAGATTGCTAACAGCATATAACTGTGTTGATGAAGGTTTTCTTTTCTGGCAAAAGTTTGGTCTCTTCAATTCTCTGTCAGCATCTCCAGCTGTGTTCAGTGAGTTGAGGTAGTTAAACAAAGGTTTCAGCCCATGTATTCACTCCATCAGAAAATGTCTGCTCACAATTCGATTTCACTACAGTAACACATACCAGTGCTATCAAACATTAGAACAGAAATGAAATGTTTCATTAGAAAGTTTTAAGAATATCAGATGACGCTTGTAGCAGAACATGTTTGGTGATGTGCTAGTGTGCTTTTTACCCACAATAATTAAGTGATTTACTCACACTGGATAATATTTAGCATTAATTCAGTTAAAAGAAAATTTCTGATGTATATATCTGATATATTTGAGGCGTTTGCCATATGAAACTATATCACTTTGGACAAAAAATACCCTTGCTTATACATTTGGTTAGGATTTTCCCCATACATTTTCTTTGGAGTGCTTTGAAAGGATGTGCATTTGTGTGACTAACAGCATTAGCACTGAGGGCAGTTGAACTTCATAAACAATAGCAATGTTTTCTAGGGGTCTGCCGTGTATGCTGGTGGGTGCATGAGATGTAAAAGATGATCTAAGTAAAACATGCATTCAAATACAACAATACTAAACATAAAATATATTTTTTTCCTTTCGAACACCAGGCAGTCAAACTAACAAGCACTACTTAATATGCATGCATGCCATTTCAAATAAAGTTTATTATATGAACATGGGTCAAAGTTGACCCAAAAGTACATAATGGAACATTTAAAAAAAACACTTATGCTTGCAACAGCATAAGTACAGATGAGACAGATCAATGTACAAACAATCCCACATTAGAGATTTGGACAGGCGTGTACAGACACACACACACCAGTGTACACTGTTATTGAATAGAGGTGTTATATCAAAGATCAGCATTCATAATTTGGAAATGTTCCACACACAGCAGAGTTACTCTGGTGTGATCAGCAGTTCAGTCTCTATATGGCTTTACTTTTCTGAGCTGGTTCTGTCTCTTGTTCATATTCTATCTCCACATAGGCCCGTTTTTTCCTGATTGGGCCTTTGAGTGGAGCCTTTCCTTTCGATTTGGCCTTGGTCTTTTCTTCCTCTAACTCTTCTTCAGACTCCTCTTCCTCACCGGATTCCTCTTCATCATCCTCTTCTTCATCACTGCTGCCCTTCAGGTTGTTCATATCCTGTAAAACATGGTCAGGGTTGAAATAATATCACTCTTTGAGATATTAAACTTTTTTTAATGTAATTTAGATTTTAACCATGTTGTAAAATATTACCTCAAAATCACTGAGATCACTCTCTTCAAACTCATCCTCAGCAACAAATTCTCTAGTCCCAGATTCCTGAAAGACATAAACAAGACTACATAAATATTTAAATAATAATAATTATTAATATTAACCCCATCTAAGAGTGTGCACAAGTTCTCCCGTGCACAAGTTCTCCCGGTCAATCAAACCCTGCAGAAGTTTACCACAAAATCGATACAATTAACAAACAATACTGTTCAAAAGTTTGGGATCCTTTAGTACTTTTATTCAGCAAGGAAGCATTACGTAAAGTGACATTAAAGACATTAATGTTACAAAATATTTTTTATGTTAAATAAATGCTGTTCTTCCGAAAATTATATTCAAAGAATATTGAAAAAAAAAATGTTTCAGGGATTCTACAAAAATATTAAGCAGCACAGAAGGATTGTTTGACACTGAAGAGTAATAGCTGCTGAATATTCAGCTTTGGCGTCACAGAAATAAATTACATCTTAAAATATATAAAAATAGAAAAGTTATTTTATTTACATTGTATTAATATTTCATAATATTACTGTATTTTTTTATCAAATAAATGTAGCCTTGATGAGCATATGAGACTTCTTTCAAAAACACATTTAAAAAAAAACATGCTGAATACTGACCCCAATATATATATATATATATATTTTTTTTTTTTTTTTATTTTTTTTTCCCTGTAATATATATTATATATATATATATGACATATTTCAGGAAACAGAAAGCTGACAGGAAAATAAAGTTAATACCTCTTCTTCGTCTTCCTCTTCCTCTGATTCAGTCTCCTCTTCCTGTTTTTCCATAGCTTTATCAAAGGCATGGATGGGGAAGTTGTATATGTCTCCATACTATATAAAGGAAAAATGAAAACTTTAAATGTAATCACTTACCTGACACAAAAGCAGGAAAGAGATGTGCCAAAGATGCACTTACTGTTCCTTGTTTTAGACGGTCTAGCAGTTCTTTTTCTATGGCATTTTCCAGCTGAGCAGCAATAAGAGCTTTTTCCTGTTGGTGAGAAGAAAAAAAAAGAGTAAATACCACACAAATTCAACTTTACATTTGATCCAAAGTGAGAAGTTAAAGAAAAAAACTAAAGACAAAACACAAAAAAGGTGGGGTGGGTAAAAAAACAAACAACAAAAAAAAAGATGTAGGTCTACATAAACGCTCAAACAAAATAAAAATACAAAGGCAGTGTTATATTCAGGAATGCATGTATGATCAGTACATCACCCACCTCTCTCCTCTTTTCTCGTCTCTCTACTTTTCTACTGAGTGGAACCAACTTTCTCCTAGAAATTAAAAACAAAAAAAGAGGCACCATGTAAGAGATTATATACAGAAAGCTGGGTATTATTAAAATAAATCAAATAAATGCTGTTCTTTTGAACTTTCTATTCATTAAACAATCCTAAGAATAAAAATGTGTCAGTTTCCACAAAAATATTATGCAGCACAACTGTTTTCAACATCGATAATAATAAGAAATGTTTCTTGAGCAGCAAATCAGCATATTAGAATGATTTCTGAAGAATCATGTGACACTGAAGACTGGAGTAATGATGCTGAAAAATGAGCTTTACCATCACAGGAATAAATTATATTTTAAAATAGGAAACGGTCATATTAAATGTAATAATTTTTTACAATATAATTGTACTTGTCAAATAAATGCAGCCTTGGTGAGCTCTTATTACAAGGCTACTTACAAAATAAAAAAATGTAAATGAAATATTATTTTAAAGGGGTCATAATCATATGACCCCTTTAAGTTGAAATTATCTGATGTGAGAAGAAAAACATCATGGAATCAACTAGTGAATACAACTACCACAGCACTGCACTATAGTGCACAGAATGCAGAAAATAATCAGAATCACAGCAACAGAAGCAAATAAGAAAGAGTCTCACTGTCGTTTGAGTGTGAGTTTGCGGATTCGAATGAGATACTGTGTGATCTTCGTCAAGCGCTGTTTGCACTTGTGTTGGATGAACCTCGGCCAGTAGATGAGGTTCTCATCGATCTGCTCCAAAGCCTTTGCATAGTTTCTATCAAGTTTCACCTGAAAAAGAGTTCAAGCGAGAGTTATTAAACATTTCAATGCGAATCACATCAAATGATCAACGTGTCTCGCTCGTTTTGGATCTCATACCTTCTCCCACATGTGAGCAGGGAATGCTGCTCTCTCAATAACTTTCACGTAGAGATAACACAGGCCTAAGGAAACACAACAGTTGTGATGATCAAGAAATGAATATACTGAAACGTTTGAGTGCCGAAAAATGTTTGCAATAACTGCTTTTGTGAAGTGCGTTTTTAAACCATCACCTTTCTCTTCTCTTACAGTAGCATACTGGCTGTTGGCGAGAGGACATGAACTGCGATCGCAAAGGCCTGTGACGTTGTATTCATTTCGACAGAACTGCTGAGTTTTCGTTCTTCAACAACAAGAAATCAAACAGTTAGATGTCGTGTTCGTCCACATACATTTAAGAAAAAAATGCAACTCTGAACAGTGTGGTTTATAATGTTATATATACTTACTTTACTTTGTAGGAACAAAAATTATCATTGCCAATAAGGTCCCATATAGCCTTTAAAAGACAGATGATTCAGTGTCAAAGATGTTGAAAATATGCAAAACATCAAATTCAAAGTTGAACAATGTAAAATCATCTAAACGTTCACAGCGGCCAGTGTTTACTGCTAAAACAGAAACATTACAACCTATGAAATATTGTTTTAAAACTTCGTTTCAGTTATTGGTTCAACCACGTCCTGTTCATTCTAAATCACATTTAGTTGATCTCTGTTGTTTGCTTGTCAGTAAATATAGATACGTTATTTTCGTGAGCTTTTCTTAAAACGCTTTACTTACGTCGTCGTGTTGCATTCTGGCAGCTTCTTTGGACGGTCGTCACTAAACACTTAAATTCCAGGTCTAAAATGATACAATAGAATTAACTAGGTTACCGAATATTTATGATAACCCAATTAAGTTTTTGTGATCAAATAAATACCACATGGAAGTTTCAGGCGGCAGCCATGTTAACACCATGAGCTACCCTACTGTGTCTCGCGAGAGTAGCAATCTCGCGAATCAGTGAACTCGGATTTGTAATGAGCTGAAAAACGACGAGTTGAGTGAACCTTGCAAGCGGCAACCTCTCGCTCTCTCTCGTGATGCCAACAAGGAAGTGACTTAAACTGTAATTCATCAACTGGCCGCTAGAGGCTGGCTGCAAAAGGGAGTCAATCCCATAGACTCCCCATGTTAAAATGCCCAACTTTACAGCAGAAAAAAACAGCAATTTCGCGAATCAGTGAACTCGGATTTGTAATGAGCTGAAAAACGACGAGTTGAGTGAACCTTGCAAGCGGCAACCTCTCTCTCTCGTGATGCCAACAAGGAAGTGACTTAAACTGTAATTCATCAACTGGCATAATCATTCTTGTTTGAAATGCGCGAAAATTAAACAAAGTCAAGATCTCCGCAGGTCGTGCCGCTGTCACACGTTCCCGGGCTTCACACGGAGCGTGTAAACTGCGCATACTCCTTGACCTTGCGATTAAACCACGCCCGCTTGATGTCGTCAGACCTGAAACACCCAGTATTTAGTCTATGCCTTCAAAAACCTCTTCAGGAACCTACGGGTGACGTCACGGACACTACGTCCATGTTTTTATACAGTCTATGATTCAAACATACAGGAATTAGATCAATCAAAACGCGATTTAAATTATAATATTAAGCCCTGGTTAAGCGTAGAGTGATAACATAAATCATAAATTCGTGGGTTTGTTTCATCTTCATTTACTGCGCGCCTCTGATCTGCACGCGCTTCTCCAGCACGCGCTTTCACCTGTCTTCCACAAAGAGCCGCGCGCCCGCAGAATTTAAATATTAACGGTCATTTTTCGTTTTACTGGCTGACTGACTCGCTAGTTTATCGATCTCTTTATTGAATGATTAGGCTACTTAAAATTTATATATTTATGAGAGTAAATATGATTTCGGAGGGATTTAAAATGCCTAACTGAAGAGAACATGATGTTAAGCGAGAGGTTTTTGTTTACGGATCAAAAGAAGGTCCCGCTGCACAAACTGTAGCCTACACTTCAGTGGTAAGAAATGAATGTACTGATAGCCTATCCTACTTTAAGCAAAGAGTATAGAAGCCCAAGAGGCGAAACTCTGTAGTGATAAGGGCAACAGTCTATAGGTGGCGCTGCGGAGGCGTTGCCGCCATTTTGGACTGAAAACTGCTGAAAGTCGCTAGAAGATGCGAGAGAGCAAGTGTGTTTTTTTCTCTGTCACACGAACACACAATTGCTGCTGATAGTTTTGATCTTTTACTGCCACTTCCACTTTATTCCTCTATTACTATTTACAGTTAATGTTAAATGTGTGCACTTGATACAGTACAGAAATATTATCTGTCTTATAATCTCTTCTCTAACACAATTGCTGCTGATGGTTTTGATCTCTATTGCTTATTTGATTTTGATCTATTACTATTTTCAGTTAAATGTGTGCACTTGATGACAGAAATTACAGAAATTCTATTACTATTTTCAGATAAATGTGTTATTAAATTTTGTCGTCATCAATTCCCCACCTCAAATTACAAATTCGGCTTTGTTTTCTTTTTGAAGCTGGTAGCACATTCTGATGGCTGGTAGGCCGCTGTGAAAAAAAAAAAAAACTAGCTTGCTGCTGGAGCTAGTTTTAGTCCGGGTGCTCATTCCCTGACTTGAATGGGTGCAAAAGTCTTAGCAAAAAGAATCGGACTTCAGAGTGTAAAAAGAAGCAACCTTTTGATAAAGCGTTAGACCGGCACCTGTAAAAAGGAGCATCGTTCAGGTGAGGCATGAAACTGGCCTCCTGACATTCTGTTGTCATTAATTCCCCACCTTAATCATGAATTTGACCTCATTGTTTAAGCGGGTAGCGCATCCTGATGGCCGTATTGAGCTTATCAGGTTGCGCTACCGCTCTATTAGAGCAGCTCTATTAAGGCGCCGACTACGAATGCAGCTGCTGCATGCAGTAGGCAGAGTCTGGTCCCTCACAAAAGCAAAGCAGGCCTGGTCGGTGCACTGGTGGGAGACCATTTGTGAAAATGAAGCTCACTGCTGCAGCTACTTTTAGTCCGGCAAGCAGGGGGTGATCATTCGCTGGCTTGAATGGGTGCAAAAGTCCTAAAGGAAGCTGGTGTAGCAAATAGGATATAGTTTACCGCATTGGAATTTATTATTATTATAACAGGGGAGGGGGAAGAAGGGAGACGGAAAGTCTCCCTTCAGTATGGATATAATTGATCTCTGTCTTGCTCCAGTCCACACTCCAGTACAGTAGGTGGCGGTAATGCACCACTTTGATGTTTAACGGCCAACCGCCGTTAAACATCAAAGAAGAAGAAGAAGAAGAGGATATGGCCACAGGTGCGTTAACGCGCTCGAGGCTCGCGTTCTTTGTTTAAAAGACCTTGAGTCACCCCAACTGCTTCCCATTCCAGTCCTTCTACTTCCGGGTATGAGGCCGCAGCAATATGCGTCAGGGAAGAGCACGGGGAGGCGAAAATGCTTCCGCCGGGTGAGTCCCCGCGGACTTCTTGCTCTTCCCACACTTCGTGTCCTCCAGTGAATTAATTAGAGAAGAGTCCATTTTTATGGGCATCCTATGCTGGAATTGAGTGAGGATTGCTCTGCCTGCATTCCTTTGAGCAATAAAACCAGTGTTATCAAATGATTTGTCTTTGGTTGCCATGGAACCAGAGGCCTGTTCTGCCTTTTTGAGGTGTTAGTTGCATTTTGGGGGAAGAGTCCATAGACCCTCATAGTTGGCTTGTTGGTTGGATGAGGGGTGTTAGGGATTATTTGTTGAATATAACAAAATGTGTGTCTGATTGGTCCACACGCTACAAAGACTTTGACAAATTTTTATCAATATGTAACTTGTCCAACCAGGCAGAATAAGACGGTAGATCTTTGTTATGGGACAATCAAGGGAGCATATAAATCAGTACCCTTGCCTGCCTTTAGTTCTGCCAACCATAATTGTGTATTGCTTCCTACATATAAATCTGTTCTTAAGAGAGAAAAAAATCAGACCAAATAGGTTAAAACCTGG